GTCTATCGTAGGCAAATTTGTTGCGTCCAAGTTCAGTTTGTTTTTAGAAACTAAATATAAACTGTAAACAATACTATTAATTCATTCGCATCACTTCGCTGAAAATGTTGTTCCAAATTTGGATAAAATGCTGTGTATTAATACCACGGTGGTATGTTGATAAACAATTATGCTATTAATTTAGCTTACTAACTTACGCTTTTCGGTTCTCTCGGCTCACTCGTGCCCAAAACAGCCGATCCGTTCCGACCGACTCAGTCCTATTCATGATCAATCATTCAATCCGTTTTTTGTGAACCGGTTCAGTCGGTTCATTAAAAAAGATGTGATTCAAAAGAATGATTCGTTGTCGCATATTTCTGTCTAGCACATGATGCTGGACCCAACCCCTCCCAGCAACCAGTAAAACAAACCAAATCCTGCTGAAGAGGGGGCTGTGTACACAAATTCCAAATATACAAGTGATAAACACTATATTTGTCAGACTTTTTGCTTTCGTGTGTGTGTTGTCTAAGTAGTTTATTTTAGAGATAAAAATCAAAACGTGAGGAAATTCAGATATGTTGCAACTCTAATAACTTATTCATACAAGCGGGTTCGCCACAAAGAAATGCTCCAAAAATCTACAAGCACAAATCCCTTTGCTTTTCTTAACTATATTACTTAATTGGAAAGACAAAACAAGATTAAACAACTAACTGGCTTACGTAACTGACAGAACATTGAAATTACATACAATTAACAGCTAATTTGAACGTGCATTTGATTATTTACCCGTAGTTCACCCGTAAAGAAACGAATTGCACTTTTGAAGAAAAAAAACCTGCCCATGAAAACAACATTTCCCATGAGTCAGTAGTTTGTGCGTAGGAACTACGTCTTTAGCAGCTTGTTGCTGAGGGGATCCTTTTACAGGGACACAAAACCGGATTAGGTAAATATCTGAGCGCATTACACCTTCTTGAAATAATTATTTATTCCTCGCCTCTTTTTTTCACTTCGATCATTATTTGTCTGACATATAAAAACAAACCGACTTTAAGATTATATAATGTGTATTAAACCAATCGCTTTATAAATACCGCTGATTTCTGATCCAGTGAGTGCGAATCAAAGCCTTGCACGCTCTATTTGAGATCAATATCAAGGCACCGAAGCTGCCTTGCTGAAGCTACACTGTCTGTTGCAGAGTAGTATCGCAGTGTTTCTTGCATATATTCAAAATAAAATAACCGTACCGAGTCTCTAGCCTTTCTCACCGTTATTGCATTATACGTCTTTATTTTTGTTTTGATGTTTTTTTAATCACAATACTACTTGATGGTATGTTTTTTATCATCCACACTGACAGTGAAAGTGTTGATAAACTATGGTTTGAGCTAGATAGATTTTTTATTAATATATTTTGCCATCTCAGGGTGTTTCTAGCACCATTTATATGGAGTAGATGCTTTATGTTTGCTAAACACTTTGAAATATTTGTTTGCTTTCAATAAGTCTGCCGTTTAAATAGCTAGAAGCAAGGAAAT